CACTGATTTTCCCACATCTACTCTGCCTGTACACCCTCAAAATAAACTCCTGTTGGTTTGTCCAACATGATTTGCATTTCATAACTCCACATTGGTTTTCTGTAATACTGTTAGTATTTTCTAATTGTCCTGATATGACATACTTTATAACAGACTCCAGTATTTTCCCTACTACCGATATTAGACTAACCACTCAGTAATTCATAGTTTCTTCCTTCTCTCCTTTTCTAAATAATGTGGTTCCATTTTCCATCTTCCAATTAGCCAGAATTTTTCTAGAATCTACAAAAATTTGGAAGGCGACAAATGACACATCCGCAATTTCCATGGCCGTTTCCTTTAGTATCCTGACATGTACATTATGAGGCCCAGGGGATAGATCAGCCTTCAGGCCCACTATTTTCTCCAGTAATTATTTTAAAATAAAACCAATTCTTTCAATTCCTCCTTTCCGAAACATCCTTGCTTCCCCTGCACTTATCAGGAATAATTTGTGTCTTCTTCTGTGAATGTAGTTGTTCAATTGCTTTGCCATTTCCTTGTTCTCCATGATTAACTCTCCTGTTTCAGCCTGTAAAGGGTCTATATTTGTCTTCACTAATCTTTTTCTTTTCACATAGTTATAGAAGCTCTTACAGACTATTTACACTTGTTGCAAGTTTGCAATTTTTGTTGACATCATATTAATTTAAAGCAATGTAGCTGGAAACTTTTTTTAAATAGCACTTTTAACCATTTTGAATGCTTGGTTGGATTTCAAAAGCTTCTAATTATTTCAGTTCAACAGATAGTCTATTGATCTAAGAATGACTGAATACTGGAGATAACTTTAATGTGGTCTCTTATTTGTCTACAAAACTAATTGGTCCCTAAAGGATTTCATTTAAATTGGAAGGTTTTTTGTTTTCCCTTCTAGTATCAATCAGAATATGTTTTTGAATTCTGGATATTACCAACTTGTCAGATCATTATTCTGATTGTTAAAATCATTGAACCAATCTAAAACAAAGTGCTGTCAAGGGGAAACATTACCCCTACATCTAGTCTGTCCAGTCCTGTCAGAATTTTATATGTTTCAATGAGATCCTTTCTCAGTCGTTTAAACTCCACTGAATACAGGCCCAGTCCTCCCAGTCTCTGGTCATACAATTGGCCTACCATTCCACGAATCAGTTCGATGAGCCTTTGTTTCACACCCTCTATGGGAAGTATATCTTTTCTCAGATAAGGAGACCAAAACTGCACACAATACTCGAGATGTGGTCTCACATGTGTCCTGTTCCCGCACCGCAATACACCCTTGTTCTCATACTCAATCTTCCAGCATAAGTCCTAAGGACTGTAAATATTGTACATACTGAGTAAAAGGCTATGCAGAAAATAATTAGGAGATTTGAGGGAGCACAGGATGATATAGGCAAACTGATGGGTTATGGAATGGCAAAGGTGACATGAAGGGGCATGAATTAGACAGAGGAGGTGGTGCGAATTTGAGAGCTGGGCTGCTATTTTGGAGAACTGAGTTCTACTTTCTAAGCACCTCAACCATATACCCGTGATCTCCTCACAGACTTCAATGCTTGCAAAATATACTGTAAATCTGACTCCCGAATAAAAAAGAAAACAAAAGTCCCAGGCAAAGTCACACAGTGGTCGGCTGTGCATTTTGAAATGTACGCATATTGGGTTTTTCGGGTTATTCCAGACCAGTGTGTCTATAATTTGAAACTGTGACCAAGATATTTCAAGACAGTTTGACAGCAGCTGAGCACAAGGGCATAAGGAACAATCCTTGTGGCTGAATGGATAGCTTCAAGGTAAACCCAATACTGGGCCCCAGGGTTCATTTAAAAGAAACAAGTGAGTTACGGAGAGCTGCTGGGGAACTTACCTAGAAAGAGGGTTTAAACTGAAGCCAGCCATCAGAAAGACTGTTAAACTGAAGAGAGGCGATGATGAGGGAATGGCCATTAAAGGCTGAGTAAACAGGCTGGCAGTGGTAATCAATTTGCTAGTGGGTGGCTGAGGAGAATGATGGATATAATTTTAACGTTGAGCTGGAATGGCCATCCCACTTCTTTAGTTGTATGTTCAGCATTTTTTTTTTTATAAATTTAAAAACACCAAACTATTGGCCTTCCCAAGTCTGTAAGACCGTTTGTTAGACTTCCAGAAATGCAGAAATACGATTAATGGAGGGCAGGGGGTGGGGGGCTATTATTTAACTTATACCAATATGGTGTGCAATGTCAGTCCACTTCTGGTTTTGAATGAATCTGGAATGCCATATTGCAGGCTGCATTAGTTCCTGAAAAATGGGCATGATGCCCGTGAAATTCTCAGCCTTTATGTATAGGTATGAAAGGATAGTTTATATTGATTTCCAATTGAAAAGAAGGCAGCACTCCGAACAAAATGTACGCTTCCCCGTTCTTGTAATTTTAAACTGAGGATGTTCTCTGGCTTGCGATTGACAACAATCAGCAAGAACGAGTGCAGTGTAATCTCCTAGCAATACGCAGTTGCTGACAATTACTCTGCAGTTGTGAAAAAAAGAAACAACCCATTTTGAAACTTGTTCTTTTCCTTCTCCTGAGAGGAAAGGAAGAAATGAGTTACAGCTGGGAGCTAGATAATTACTTGTGTGTTTCAAAGCTTATACCCTTTCTTTTCAAGCAGGTCCGCACTCAACAATTACAGAGAGTGTATCATTTGCCGAGTGAATTGGATACAATCTATTATGTCCGCCTGGTATTGTCTCTAGAGAGACATGGAGGATCTGCAGGGAATGGTCTGTAAATCGAGGCAAACATTTTGTGGGGAGAGCATTTTAGACAATCTGCAACGCGAAATGATTTTTATGAGCTATCACTTTATGATGAAGGACATGGTGGCTCACTACAATTTGATGGCAATTCTTCCCAAAGGCATTAGTGCAGTTAATTTCTTTTTTTTATATATTGCTTTGTCCAACAAAGCATAGCTGCTGCAGATCAGTGCACTTATTTCTTAACTTTTCACTATTTTGTTTGCCCAAACTTTGCGTTCATGAAGAGGAGAAGCAATCCTTAGGTTTAAGAACACTTTTCCTCAGGCAATACCGCCCAGCTTAGGTAATGAGAGAGTAGAATGTCGGCTCGCTGTTGCATTCTAAGTGTTGGCCTATTCTAGATGGGCAGGAGGGAGGAAGAAAACATGTAGTTGGATGGGGTAGCAGGGGAGGTCTTTTTTAAAAAATAGGAACAGTTGATCCAACAGCGCTCATATCACAGACATAATAATTTCAAAGCAGAGACAAAGATCCCAATCGCTGATTGTGCCATCATTACTGCTGGATAAACTGCCTTATATCGCACAGAATTGAGGCAAAAAACTTTACTAACACTATTGTTGCATTGGAATGTAGATTGCACTGGAGCCTGGCAAAGGTGCAACTGGTGGATTGCTTAACTGGTTTGTAACGAACTCAGTATACACCCTGAACTGCAGCCAAAGTGTAGGAGGGGCTGGGTCAGAAGAAATACTTGCCCCGTTTAATTGAAAACCTTCCGTAAATCATCATGCATTATTTCTCTTGCAGATATTCTGAGCTGTCACTTTTATGTGCAAAGTAAACTGTTTGTACTCTATTCTAACATGTCAGAACGCCCAACTTCAGGAGATTAGCGGAGTGACACCACTTCCAAAATGATAGAACCTCTCACCTATTTGATGGAGACCACCAAATAAGGCCTAGATTAAAACTGTCCATGCTCAAATTTTCACAGCATACTTGCAGGCAACAGCATAAGGAAGCTTTGATCTCATATGATGGGCTTGCATCCGTTTGCACATTTGAAAGCTTGAACAAAGCACCCAGTTCTCCAGGAAAGATTTTACAGAACAGTTTAATACCGTAACAATTTTTGTTGTTCCTTTTCTTGGGCCGTAACAGCAAGGTCTTTGTATCATCTTATTTAGGATATAGCTGAACATTTTATTCAGATGAATTTTTTTTTTGACATCACATTTTGTAATGTACATAGCTGCTAGAGATTTTACAAGTTTAGGGACATTGAAGTGACTCTTGGATAGGCATATGGATGATAGTAAAATGTAGGATATGCAGGGTAGTTTGATCTTAGAGTAGGATCATAGGTTGGGACCACATCGTGGACCGAAGGGCCTGTACTGTGCTGTACTGTTCTGTGTTCTATGTTCCTGTCCCCAGTTGCATTCAGGATAACATATCGATGTGTGGTGCAAGCAGTATTCACTTAAAAGAAAACTGAATGAGTGCTGGATGCAGTAGGATGCTTGGTGACTACCTTCCATTTGCCCCTCCTCCGTCCTAGTTGCTCCCTTCTCATTCAAGCTCATCTTCCTCTCACTTGCTTTCTCCCTCCCTCCATCCATGATTTCGACACTCCCTTTTCTGATTGCAGAATTCTCCTCTCCCAGACGCTATCTTGGGTACTTGACCAGTGGCTTGGAATCTGAATCTCCATTGCCAGTAAGCACGTTAGGGTCATCCTGCAAGTATCTCTGCTTTATCAGTCCAATTTAAATGAGGTTCCAGGCCCAATTTTCGCCAGGCCTCTCCTGCTGTAAACCACAGAGTTTGACCCAGCTCATATCAGTATCCAGCATTATAAAACTCCATCCAAGATCTCTGATTCTCTTGACACTTCATTATGTTAAGAACATGTGCCTTTTTTTTGCTTTATCCTAAAGAAAAGCAAAACTTTGTTTATCTTCAAAACGTTAAGTCTCATTTTGATGTTCCTACAGATGTACCAATAAATAAAAGGAAGATGCACTGAGAACATTACTTAGCTACATTTAAAAATAGAATCATCCTGCTGAATATGTAATATGGATTGGCTTTATTACAAGCTATGTCTAAACATTATTTTTGTTTAAATATGTAATTTAAATGATTTTGACTGTTTAGTTACATACATGCGGTTTTGTTTTCTCAGTGGGAAACATTGCACAAAGTAAGAATTGTGTACATTTACCTTATTCTGGATATTGTCAGACTGTAGAGATGGATATGTTGGATAATTTCATCCAAGAGTCGATCAGTCATTGCATCAAAATCAGCAAAGGTGTCACTCTGCAGTGAAATATATTCAAAATAAAGCAAAAGCTGATGTGACACAGAAAAATGAATCAGAGCACAAAGATTACTATCCATCTCATTTTGAACAGATTGTACCTACATTCAGGAATGTAAACTTGACACCATTTTCTTTTCTACTTTTCACTTTGCCTCTGTTCCTTATAAACTATTATTCATTCACATTTTGCACAGCAATAAAATAAATAGCAAAATTCAAAGGTACATTGCATCTCCTTCCTACTCACTCTCTCCCATGCTACAGACAGTCTAAGCTGTAAATTCGACCATGGTAATAATTGTATGTAGGGTTGTTTACCAGAAAACTGTGTTTCATTTAATGCTGGACTTTTCTCCCAACAAAAGACAATACAATCTACTGAATTTATTTACATTCTTAAATTATTATATGAAAGCTACCTGTTGCTGTGTTTCTCCTGTTTATTAAATCCTTTTGTGCATCTTGTCTCATAAATACCTTTAGCTCCACAGTGATCTCCTCCAACTATCTCTTCTTGCCTATGGCCTTCCAGAAAAGTCACTCCTTCGAACATCTCTTTTTGAGTTGGCAACCAATTTTATCTAATTCCTCTGTAAAGTGCTTTAGGGCATTTTGCATTGAAAGATCAGTGTAAATACAAGCTGCCTATGTTGTTAATCCTGTGCTCTTTATGAAGTGAGTATGAAGTTGAACATGAGGAAATTTTTTTTCCATCCAGTGAGTAGTTGGGGTCTGGAATGTGTTGCCTGGAACTGTGGTGGAGGCAGGTTCAGTTGAGACATTCAAGGGGACAATGAACGATTACTTGGATAAAAATAATGTGGAAGGGTACGGAGGAAAAGTTGGAGGTTGCCACTAGGTAATGAAGATTATTTCAAAGGCTGATGCAGATGTTTAGAGCTGAATGGCCTCCTTCTGCTCCATAACATCTCTGATTCTGTGAATGGCACAGATCAGAATGGAAAGAGTTAATCCAGGCAGTAACATAGATCATGCTACAGAATTGACAGAGATGAAGCCTGCTGGGTAATACTTTGAGTTTTATATCAAGTAAAGTTACTGAGTGCGTTATAACCGTGGAAAACAGTACTTTTTATTTGAGAAATGCCTGAGTGTAGCTCTAAGCTATAATACTTTGATCAGTGTTCAGGCTCTTCCGTAAGTCTGACTGTGTGTATTAAGTGGATAAGGAGATGAAACTTGTTGGAATAGATTACTGAGACCAAATAGTCAGACTGCTAATTCTGCAAAGGGCTCAGATTAAGTGCGTGTTAAGATTGGGTAGCAGTGAAGAGCTATGACCAGAGCTTTTGTGCAAGTGATGGGAAAGGACATTAAGGAAAAGGAAAGTCGTGGTGAATTATTTCCCGAAAGGAAACTCAGTTGGTCTAGCTTCTAGGACAGAGATAACAATTGTATCTTGATCACTAACACTGCCTTATAGTGACTTGCTGCTACAGTTTATGATGTTGTCTTGCTGATATACTTGATGTTCGTTGTAAATCAAGATTAAATTGCTTTTCATCTACTATACATGTATGTAGTCCTGTCTGATTCGACAAGAATAAATTGAAGCTCCATATATTTAGAGACAGGATGATTTACCGACATCTCCACAACCTATTATCTCCATTTCTTGACACAGAAGAATGCTGAACAGCTCGAGCAGATTGCCAGGGAAAGCTGATGAGGACAAGATTTTGGGTTCATTTGAAAAACAGATATAGCAATGTAAAGAATTTGTAATTATGCACCAGCTTTCAGACTGTCTCAAAACAACAAAGTAATTATGAAGTGTCGTGATTGAACCATAGAATGATTACAGCACCGGAGCCCATTCAGCTGAGTCCATGCTAGCTGCCTGCAAGACAAACTCACACAACTATAACCTCACCTAACCTTCCTTCACACCCTGTCAATTCCTTGTTGTCCTGAAATATTTTATCACTTCAGGTGCCTATCCAGTTTCCTTTTGAAAACCCTCTCAGAAATATCCCTCTGGATCCCCACTCACCGAATGAAAATGTTTTCCTCTTGTTGCCATTGCTTCTTTTACTAATTGCCATCAATCAGTTCTCTCTGGTTCTCAATCCTCCCGCCAACAGAAACAGTTTCTCCCTGTTCACTCAGTCCAGACTCCTCATGATTTTGAACACCTCGATCAAATCTTTTCCTCACATTAGGAGAATAGTCCCGCTTCTCCAAACTAGTCAAGTAAATAAAGTTCCTCATCCATAGAACCGTTCTTGTGAATCTTCTGTGCACGTTCTCTAATGCCTTCACATTGTTCCTAAAGCCTAGAACATGACACAATGTTCTCCAGTGCTCTTGCAATCAAATAAACATTGGAAGGCTATAGTTAGTACCTTCGCCATTTCATACAACCCTATTTCTTTTGGTATCTTTGAGTGCATTGTGTCTTATCCTGGTAACATAAAAGCATAGATAACAGGACCAGGTGCAGGTCCTTTGGCTCATTGATCTTCCTCCACTATTCAACAAGATCATGGCTGATCCACTATTACAACAACAAAATCCTGTGCCCCTCCTATAATTCTTGGCACCTTTAGCTTCGAGAAACCTATTTCTTTCTTAAATATATTAAGAGACACAGTTTCCACCATCTTCTGTGATTGAGAATGACACAGGTTCACTGTCCTCTGAGTGAAGACATTTCTCTTCATTTGGTCTGAAATGGCCTACTGTATATCCTGAAACTGTGACCCTTTGTTCTAGACTCGCTAACCAAGGGAAACATCATCCCTGCATCCAGTCTGTCTCACCTAGAATACAATTCATTTCAATGAGGTCCCCTCTCATCCTTCTAAAGCCCAGTGAATACAGGCCCAATCATCCCAATCTCTCCATATTTGACAAGTCTGCCATCCCAGGAATCAGTCCAACGGACCTATCAATTATTATTTATCCATTATCAACTTTGACTACAGTCAGCCTTTCTAATGCCTCTCCTTATCAAGTTTTGGTACACTGAGTATCTCAGCCACGTTCTCTATTACCATGATTGTGAGAGTATCTACATCTTCTGTAAAGATAAATGCAAAGTACTCATTTACCACCTAAGAAACTATAGAAGTTGGTGCACAGCCCAAACCATCATGATAGTGAACCTTCCATTCATGGATTCTATTTACACAGCTCGCTGCCGCAGAAAGGTGGCCAACATCATCAAAGACCCATTGCACCCTGGTAATGATATCCTACAACCTCTTCTGTCAGGAAGAAGATACAGAAGCCTGAACATGCACACCAGCAGATTCAGGAACAGTTTCTTCCCGGCTGTTATTAGACTGATGAATCATCTCTCTACCCTCAAATATTGCTGATCTTGCTAACATTGATCTCGCCTGTATGCCTCTGTCTATGGTCTTATTGATCTGTACATCATTGCTTATTGTGATCTTCCTGTACTGCTCATAAACAAAGCTTTTCACTGTAGTTTGGTGCATGTTACAATAAATCATTCAATCATCCATGTCTCTGCCTCATTGCATATGTCCCTTTTGTTGGTCCTTAATTAGCCCCTCCTTTTATTACTCTTTTAGTATTTAGTTATTGATAGAAGACTTTTGGATTCCTTTTATGTTAGTTACTTCTCACACTCCCTCTTTGCCTCTCATTTTCTTCAGGCTGGTTCTCATTTGTATTATCAGTCTCTCCATTTCTGTTTCATCTTCCTCTCAATTGTTCTTGCCATTCCTCAGCTCTGGTTTTGTCTACAATACCATACCCCTTCCAAGGATAGACCTCAACAAAACCTGAATCACCTCCTCTTTAAAGACAGACCTTTGCTGATTGATGGTTTTGCCTGTCAGTCTTTGATTCCAATTTGCCAAAGTCAGATCTGTTCTCACCTCAGAGATGTTTCGATGAAAACAGGTTCTGATGAAGAGTCACCAGACTCGAAACATTAGCTCTACTTTCTTCCCACAGCTGCTTCCAGACCTGCTAAAGTTTCTCCAGCGTTTTCTGCCTTTGTTTCAGCTCTCCAGCTCTTTGTTTTATGTTACCCATCTCAGAGAAAATGGCTCTCTTGCAATTAAGTATTTTAACTCTAAATTGTTCAGTGCCTTTTATAATAAATAACCTGTAGATTAAGGTTCTAAAATCATTATTCCTCAAGGGAAGAATCTTTCCAGACCTGAAAGGGCTATGGTGAGAAATTTGGAAATATTGGGGGAAATGTTGAGTGACATGCTTTTTGACTGAGACCAAAAAAGTTATATTTTCCAACCAGGTTCTGGACATCAAGGTGAGATGCTAATTTGTGAGTGGTAACAGACCTATTGATGAGGGATTCTCTCTCTTTAGCTTTCTTATTTCTACATAATCTGGCCTCATTTATGTGCAGGGCCCCATTCTCCCTCCTGCTGGATAGTAACTAGTTGACATGAATTCCTGACAGGAACATCCCAGTGGGTCAACAGTAAAGATGGTGGAAACATTGTGGTCTGACATTGTGCTAAGTTAATCTCACACCTACAGCACGTGGCAACAGCCTACATGGTGAACACGCTGCATATGCTTAAAATCTGTGGGCACGTTGCAAAGTTGAAGGATAGTCGTTTCTCAGTCAACACAAATGCCTGGAAGTCACCATCTCCAATAACACATAATTTAACTACTGCTCCTTGAAATTTAATGGCATTACCATCATTGAATGCCCCACTATCAACATCCTGGGGGTTACCATTGAGCAGAAACTCAGCTGGATTCGCCATATAAATGCACTATTACGAACAGTGCAACAAGTAGCTCACCTTTTGTTTTTACTTTATTTGTCACTGGTTAGGCAGCATTTACTGCCCATCCCTAATTTCCCAGAGGGTAGTTTAAGTGTCAACCACATTGCTGTGGGTCTGGAGTCGCATGTAGACCAGACTAGGTAAGGCCATCAGTTTCCTTCCCGAAAGGACATTAGTGAACCAGATGGGTTTTTCCGACTATCGACAATGGATTCATGGTCATCATTAGATTC